CATCCGACAGATTCTCCATCTCTATCCGGTCATAAGCAGACAATTGGAAAAGATGACAAGAAAGACATTTTGAAACAAATTAAAAAAAAAAAAGATGTTGATAAGGTAACATTTATACATAATCCTAGATGGTTTCTTTAATTTATGTTATGCAAATTATTTCGTTAACTCTTTCTATTTTAATATGTAGGTGAGTTCAGACCTTGGAACTTTAAAGAAAGATATTTTTAAAGAACTAGGTAGCATTCGACTGCTACTCAAAGATTCAATCAAGGCTATTTTAGAGGCAGTAAACACTCAAAAGGATAACATTGATGCTAAGGTTTCATTCGAAATATAGTCATTTTAGACAACGATTTTTATAATTTCTAAGTATCTATTATCATTCATAAAAGTATATAGCCTAATAAATCATGCTTGCAGTTTATTGGCAGTTCTACGAAAAATGATGAGCATTGCAAAGAAAAGAACAATCAGCACATTCCGGACAGTAGTGCTAAATCAGTGTTGGCCGTCAGTAGTAAAAAAAGGTATCTACATTATCTTTACATTTTATCTATATTATATCAACATTATATCTACATATACCCGAGATTACTAGCAACCAATCTACATTATATTTTCAATGGTTTTCTTAGATACAGGACACCTGAATGACATACAAATTGAGGAGAATGTTCTTGTAGGTGTTGATTTGTCTTCCAAATTTGAAGGGGCATTTGATGAAGAAAATGCAGGTATGATTTAGTATATGTTATCATCATATTTCACAATTTTCATATCAAATGCAGGACAACATTTCTACAAATTTACTATACATTCACTATAATTTATCTACATTTTTGTTAATGTTTCCTACAAATAATCTACAAATTAGTTAAGTTGCGCACATTTATTGTAACAGAGAAGAAAACTCTGCATGTGGACTCTCTAAAACAGGAAGCTAATATTGGCATTCCAGGAGAGCATTTAAATGAGGAGAAGGAGACAACAAAAATCCAGACTCTCTAAAACAGGAAGCTAATATTGGCATTCCAGGAGAGCATTTAAATGAGGAGAAGGAGACAACAAAAATTCAATCTCCCATTCAACAAGAAAACGTTATACAACCAGGAGACGATTGCTGTGAACATTTCAGTGGTATTATATGTTACATTACAATTGTAGGGAAAAAAAGGTTTTAAAAATTTGTTTCAATTTTCCATAAAGAACTGATGCAATATGTCTTCTTATTCTTTTGTTTTAAAATTTTGAAGGTGAACCAACCGACAACATTATTGTAGGTGTCAGATGACTGTAGATCTGAAAAAAGGAAAGTAACACTTAATGATTTTGAGTTGCTAGAAAACTTCTCCCAGATTGTTAAGTTTGGCGAGCCTATCCAAGATGACACAACCCTTAATTTACAAGGAAGAACAAGGCAGCCTCGAAAACATGCCAGATCCCCCTTTCTCCCTTTTTACAGTTCTAGGGGGAGCACTTCAGGAGGACCTCTAATTTTCCTCATCAAGCATTCATTTACTGGGTTTATTGGCGACGATGTTGATCCTGACTTGTTGGAAGAACTCAATAAGTGGTTATACTCTGGTACCGACAGGTGTCAAAGAGGTTAGATTATACAAGTTTTTATATTATCGAGTTCATACAAATTTTTGATTTCCAGTTGAATCAACATATTTATTGTAATTGCTATGTGTTTAAATAGGAGGAAAGCGCCTTATTCTATAAAAGATAACCAGTTTAAGTCGTGGTATAATCTTGGAGTGGAAAAAGTTGATAAAAAGGAGTGGTTTTACACTTTAGTACATCCCGGACAAGTCCTCAACGACACGGTAAACACATACCCTGGCAGAATGTAATGATTAGCTGTAGTATTCTATTATTGGAGAATATTGTAGTTTATTTTGTTTAAAAGGTGTATAATTTGTTTGAAGAATTAAGAAATAATGAACTCTGTTTTTTTTTTGCAGCACATTGATGTTATTTTATACTATTTGAGGAAGAGAAGAAAGTATGGTCCTGTGAACAAATACGGTTACTACACTGACTGATTTTCAAGCTATAATTGAACANCCAACCCCGTCCTCAAAATGGACACGACCTGCCGTGTGGACAAAGGTCGGGCCCAAGGGACGACCATGTAATCACGTCGGCCCCTCTGTAACGTGCATTTTATCTTTAGTTTATATATTTTATCTTTATATCGTAAATAGGAAAAAAGGAGAAATCCCTCCGCTATATAAGGGGGGTTCCCAACTGTGTAATGGGGGATTTTGGATCAATAACATTTCTACTTACTTTCTCTATCTCTCTGTCTCAATTTCTATCTCCCTCTTTCTCTGAAAAACGGATACCTCGGATCTTTGTAACATTATCACGCAACTTTGTCCTTTAACTGCTCCGAATCACCAAACCACAAAGGATTACTCATTATCTAGTGTCGATTATCTTTGATTACGATTTACCTCTTCTCCATATATTTGATTGATTTGCTTAAACACTGTTCGTTAACCTTTTAAGCCAAACAACCACATTGCCACCATTGCCAAGTGCTGCATCCTTGCCAACACTTCCAAAAACTACACCTAATTTACCATCTTTGCCTACATTGCCCTCTGCACCAAAGATGACTACCACCAATGCCTGCCAATGTTCCTCTTCCCAAAATGCCTTCACTTCCTACCAGTCCTACACTTGCAACTCCTCCATCAAACTGATCTTGCAACATTTTCCTGTCTTACCCTATGTTCTCTGCCGTTTATTTTTTATTTTTTTTCCTTTTTCTCTGTTGTTTTTATCTTTTGAGTGATTCTTAACAATATGTATCGTATCGGTTATGCTCTCTTGAGTGTTATACATTTATTATGCAGTAGACTTTGTATTAATGCCATGCAGTTGTCTATTATTGATTTAACTGTATTTCTCCAGTATATGTGTTTGACCAAAAGATATTAAAAGCTTTTTGGTTTGATCAATCAATGAAGACGAAGAGGTAAATCTCAGCCAAGTATAATAAAATCTAGATTAAATGATATAAGAGAAAGATAAGATGATCGATGCTTCCTTGTATGTCGGAACCAAATGATTACTCATAAATATGGCAACTTCAAATGCCGAAAAATGTTGTAATGAATGTGATTGAACAAAATAAGATGATGTAAGGATCAGATCCATATTCAGTAAGCAAAGTTGTCCTTTTTTTGTATTCACCTTTTCCTTCTTTTACAGAGCGTTTTCCTACTATTTATAAGGGACAATCCCCTTTCAAACCCTAAAGAGGTACAACACAAAGAATATTCAAAAAGCATATTCCTACTGTCTCATACTACGCTAACACTACTGCAGACGCTGTGCGTTTGCTTTAACCACTTGTTGGTCGTCACCCTTTATAACGACCAAAGGACGCTACATCATAAGGACCTCATTCCTCACCGCACTCAGCAATGGTCGTGGTCGTCCAAATTTGGATTTAGACAGTTAGTCCCTCCGCTTGTCGAGGTTGCGGCCCGACACGTCCTTGATAATCGAACATCGTCTATACTTGCGGAGAAATTTGGTTTGCGAATCATAACGGTTTGACCAATGACGGAAGAGCAGTGCGCTTCACGACATCTTGGGTTGTGTGTCCTATCGGGAAATAACGTCACTTCCACGTGCGTCATCATTACGCGTTTTCCCGAGACAGAGACTGAGGGTTTGTCACTTCGGTTTTGGTGCCATGGGCGGCCTTTCGCTTCGATTCTGGCACCACCCAACCCTATAAATAGGTAAAGGGTTTGTTTTTTCAAAAACCCTTGGTCATTTCCTCTGGTTACTCCTTCTCGTATCTTTAGCTTTGTTTTTGTGATTTCTTAACTTCCTCTCTTCCGTTCATTGTTCTTGGTTTCTTTTGTCTCGTTAATACATTTTCCGCCGTAAATATGCCTAGAACACACCGGTCACGTGAAGGGCTTTCTGACGCCACCTCGTTATCCATGGCGCTTCCTTCTGGTGGTGAGGACACGATGGCAGGGGAGGGGGACACGTTTCCCACTGTAGAAGAGTTGTTACCGAGACACCCTATGTCTCGAAGTGACTTTCTTAAGGATCCTGCTCCTAGTCCCGTTCCGGTAGTGTCTGAAATTGAGCAGGCCCATATAGATGCCCTCCACACTAAGTATAGCATTCCTTCTCATGTCGAGATGGTTCCGGCGCAAGGGATCATGGAGGTCCATAGACCGGGGTATTGTGCTTTTTACGAATATCCCTTTGTGATTGGTCATTTGTGAGAGTCAAATGACCAATTACAAAGGGATATTTGTAAAAAGCACAATACCCCGGTCTATGGACCTCCACGAAGTCCCTCCCCGCCGGAACCGTCTCGACATGAGAAGGAATGCTATACTTAGGTGCGAGTATTGGAACGCACATGCGAGATCGCTGGTGCGGGAATTTGACCGCAGAAGCAGTTTCTGAGGGCTTAAGTGAGAACTGCACCTGCGATGGATTTTCCGCAGGTACGGCGTCGCAGGAGTGACATGAGAACCGTAGATGCGAAAGTTTTGGGCAGAATGTATAAAAGGTGGACTTCACGAATTTTAGTTCATTTTCCACCATTTTTAGTCGACTTTGGAGCTTTTGAGAGCGATTTTGAGGAGGAATTCATGGGTTTATCAGCAAGGTAAGTGGCTTGTGCCCTAATACTCGTATATGTGATAATTTCCCGTTGATTAATCATGTAATTAGTGAAGATTAGGGGTGAAAATGAGGTGTTAGGACTTGGGAATTGGAGAGTTTGATTTGGAATTTGAGGGACCATTTGATGTCGTATTTTGATGAATTTGGTATGGATGGACTCGTGAGTGAAAGGGCTTTCTAGTTTTGTGACTTTTATCGGATTCCGAGACGTGGGTCCGGAGCTCGAGTTTGAGATGATTGCGGTATTTGTGTCTAATTTGATAGTTTTTCTTGTGGAATTCATTCCATTAGCGCATATTGAGGGTATTTTTCTGTTTGTGAATAGATTCGAAATGATTGGAGGCCAAGCAAGGGGAAACAGCAACGCGGAGTAGAAGATTTGATCGGTTTGAGGTAAGTAACGATTGCAAATCTAGTACTGAGGGTATGAAACCCCGGATTTTGTATCGTTTTACTATTTTGAGGTGATGCACATGCTTGGTGACGGGCGTATAGGCGTGCACCATTGGGAATTGTGACTTGGTCTGTCCCGTAGCAGCTATAAAGTTGCGTATTTGGTTGAAACTATATGATACTTATGTGTTTTAGAAAGAGTTTCTGTAAAATGGGCTAAATGCCATATTTGGGCCTTGTGCTAGAGCTGTTTGGACCCTTAGGGGCCTTTTCTTACTACCCTCTTACTGTTTTTGGTTAAGAATCTATACTCAGTCTTGTTACACTTATTGATTTTATAACTCAGTCTTTATTACTCTGTTTTGATGCATATAAAATGTTGTTTTGGGCTGAGTACCCTGTTTTTACTGAGAGCCCGAGTGGCTTGAGAGGTTTATGACTGAGTGAGGCAGAGGGCCTGATTTGTGAGGATATTTATGGGATCGGGCTGCACGACGCAGCATGTTGTTACTGATTCATGATTGAGTGAGGTCGAGGGCCTGATTGATTTATGCCACGAGGTGGCTTGATATAGCGCTTGGGCTGAAGGAGCCCCTCCGGAGTCTGCACACCCCCAGTGAGTGCGAGTACCCTGAGTGTGAGTGATGTTATGCCCGAGGGGCTGTATACGAGTGACTGTGAGGTTGCCCGAGGGGCTGTATCTGAGTGATGTTTTGCCCGAGGGGCTGCTTATGAGTGATATTTTGCCCGAGGGGCTGTTTATGATTTTATCATTTTGCTCACTGTTGCACTGAACCTCTGTTTAAGAACTGTTGGAGAATATCTTCAAATGATTTTACTGAAACTGAGTTTAAACGAAATGGTTTGATTCAAACTCTGCTTTTAAAAGCCTGTTATATTTTACTGAGATCTTCCTGATATGAACTTATTATGCTTTATTGCTCGTCACTGCTTCTCAGTCTTTATTTACTTTGGTTACTTACTGAGTTGATGTACTCACGTTACTCCCTGCACCTTATGTGCGGATCCAGGCGCATCAGGACCCGGTAGCGGCTGTTGACTAGTCCAGTTGTAGACTTTTCTCGGATTTGGCAAGGTAGCTTCTGGTGATCGCATCCCTGTTCTTCTCCCTCCTATCTTCCTATAGTTTATTTTGTAGTTGCATTTCCATACTATGTTAATCTCGGTATCTTCGGACAGGTTTTTTAGTAGATGCTCATGACCAGTGACACCCCAATATCAGGCTTTTCTTTCCGCACTTTCATTATTCAGATTTCCTTTATTAAGTTCTATTATTAAATAGCTTGAAGTTATATTTAAATTGAAATATTGGGTCGTTTTTGGTAAAGAATCGGCTTGCCCAGTACCACGATAGGCGCCATCACGACATGGTAGTTTGGGTCGTGACAAGAAGCTAGGGATTCGAAATTTTGGGATTTAGACCTCAAATTGAGGTCGGATTCCAAAATCAATTGTATATCCGGGCTCAGGAGTGAATGGATAATTGAGTTTTGGTCCGAATTTCCCCTATATATACCCTTTAGTTGTAATAATCAAACTCAAATCAAATCAAAACACAACATAACTTCCTTGGAAAACAAAGCATCAATGTAGCTAGCAAATTAATTAACAATGGCTATTTCCAACAATTGCTCAATCCTCTTCTTGATCATAGCATTATTATCCTTATCAAGTATCACTGCAACACAGTAAAATTGCACGGGGCGCCTTATTTGGTCGCCTCCATTTAACCTATACCCATTTTTTTAAAACTTTTAACTTGTACCCACTTTTTAACAACTTCAGCCCCCTTTCTCCTCCTCCTTCTCCTCCTTCGTTTTCTTCTTTCTTCTTCTACAACGATGACTTCAACATTGCCCTCTTTGATTAATGACAAATGCATTGGTCAAAAATGTCAGATCAAGTGTAGACAAAAGGGAAGGGAAATATTAGGCGTAAAATCACAGTAGTATTAGCCTCTGTAGCCATATTTAGAGCTTTCTTCACATTAGAGTCAGCATCAGCTTCTGTTATCACCAGGCTAGGATTATGAATTTTGATAAGTCCTTTCACCTTCCTTAGGAACTCGCACCTGCGACCAACCCCTCGCATCTGCGGAACCGCATATGCGGCCCTTCTTCCGCAGATGCGGAAACACCAGANTCTAACTTTAAATAAATAAATATATTTTGTAACTAATATGGGTAGGTCGGATAATTATGTAAACATGAACATATTTGATAATAAAATTTTTAATTTTGTATAGGTATGAAAAAATCCCTTAATATTAACTACCTCACGAAGAAAGGAATCTTGGAATTTATCAATGAAAAATATGAAGATACTTCATCTAGTCATATTGTCTGCCGTCTGGTTGTATTATTAAATTAAAAAGTGAACATTTTGATCTTACTAATAAGTTGAGAATCATGGGCATAATCTTCTCCAATATACTCAGATAATTACATAAAAAATATCATTCTCTTCCAAGATTCAGATTGATAATTAGTGTTTCTTGTTTTAATCATCAGTCAATGGTCAAATACTACATAGAAAATTTAAGCTGAATAATCCTGACCACAAGTTCAGTAGAAATTTAATGTAAGGATCTGACTAATTAATTAGTCACTCTATCACATGCCATATGGAAATTCCATTGCCATGATTTTGTATTTCTTTTCTGAGAAAGCTAATCAGCTAAAAGCTATTCTCTGGGTCGGTCCATCGACCCATTTATTTATATTTAACCCTTTTCCAACAAAAGAGAAGGTAAAGAAATAAGATCATGTGCTAACTTGTAGTTCTTGATACTCTAAAATGTTATTTTGATTCTCTTTTTTTTTTTTTTTTATCATTTGACGTTCGGTACTTGTTTAGTGGTTCCAATTAATTCAAATTCCGCACCGCGCAAGATCCATTGAAGGGGAAAGAGCTTTCTACTGTAAGTTTTTATTAATTCATTCGAAATATCTAGTAAGGATCCTATTCATCCTACAATACTATTTTTTGTAAAGTTTATTATTTCAAGGTAAATTCATTTAAAAAAGAAAGAATTACAAGTAAATATATTTGACCTTACACCATAACAAAAATAGCCCATTTTTTAAGGTAAAAATTACACGGGGCGCCGTATTTGGTCGTCCCCATTTAACCTGTACCCATTTTTTTAAAAACTTTTAACTTGTACCCACTTTTTAAACAACTTCAGCCCCCTTTCTCCTCCTCCTTCTCCTCCTTCGTTTTCTTCTTTCTTCTTCTACTACGATGACTTCAACATTGCTCTCTTTGATTAATGACAAATGCATAGGTCAAAAATGTCAGATCAAGTGTAGACAAAAGGGAAGGGAAATATTAGGCGTAAAATCACAGTAGTATTAGCCTCTGTAGCCATATTTAGAGCTTTCTTCACATTAGAGTCAACATCAGCTACTGTTATCACCAGGCTAGGATTATGAATTTTGATAAGTCCTTTCATGCTAACGTACATTGCTTGAACAACAGGCACCTCTGAATTTGAAATTCCTGATAAAGCACCAACTCCTATATCCATAATCTTGAATCTTCTTTCTTTGCAGACTGCCTTTGGCCATTTCAAAGCTGTAGCAGCATCTTCACAAGTGCAAAAATTGCGTTCCGAGACAACGATATATGCCTTCTTTCCAACAGTTGATCTGAACTTTTCAAGAAGAGGTGCAAGAGCTTTAACTTTTCAAGAAGAGGTGCAAGAGCTGAAGTTCCCCAGTTACAAAGACAAAAACTTCAGCTCTAGAGCTTAAGTTTCCCAGTTCCAAAACAGAAACTTCAGCTCTAGAGCTTAAGTTCCCCAGTTACAAAACAAAAACTTCAGCTCTAGAGCTGAAGTTCGACAGTTACAGAACAAAAACACAAACAAAAAGCCAGTTACAAATAAAAACTTCAGCTCTAGAGCTGAAGTTTGACAGTTACAAAACAAAAACCTAGAGCTGAAGTTCGACAGTTACAAAACAAAAACTCAGGCCTGGCTACTAGAATGCTGAAATTTTGCATAATTGTCTTTGCTACTTCAGCCCCGTATGTTGAAGTTATGCGAAAAAGCGGGTACGCTAATTGTAATTTTTTTTGCAAAGCAGGCACAAATTAAAACGTAACACAAAAAGCGGGTATAGATGCAAATGCCCCCTACAACACACGCTGCTCGTGGGCTACTGCAACTTTTGAACTTGCCTACAATCCATCATTGCCTCAGCCAACAATGCCAAAATTACCCACTATTCCAAACTTGCCAACAGCAGCCACATTACCACCATTGCCAACTCTTCCAACGGCTACGCCATTACCATCTTTGCCTACGTTGCCCGCTATTCCAAAGATGACTCTACCACCAATGCTTGCCAATATTCCTCTTCCCAACATGCCCTCACTTCCTACCATTCCTACAGTTTCACCTCCTCCATCCAACTAATCTTGCAGCTCCACTACATATTAGTTGTTTGTTTACCCTTATTGGTCTATTGTTTCTTTTATTTTTTTTTAAATTTCCAATGTTATTCGAGCTGATTGTGAGTATTGTCTGAGTGTTATGTTTTGCTTGTGAAACATCATTTGATGTAATTTACTGTTACTATTAATTTTTTCCGTCTATTTCGTTATACTATTCTAGAGCAAAGTTTATTTCTTTATTTTTCCGAAAAATGATGTCAATCTGAAGCCAGCACAATTAATCTTTATAATCTACACGGCATAAAACCTACTCCAATAGATAGATTTACCCATTTCTTAGCGCTGGAGGTAACGGAGCTTATATTATAGAGAAACTATAATGCACAAATTAACAAGACGGAAATAAAAATTTAAAACAAAAAAGAGTGAACTATATATGTACAAGCCTTTTAACTTTAGAAAATGTATTTGGACTTTAAATGGAGTAAGAGATACCTATTACTAATAACTAGTGGAATCGGCGCGATGCGCGGATAATTTGATAGAATATTAATCTTATAATATTATGATCTAATATATCATATTATTTTAAGAAATATTAGTTCTTATTTTATTATTTATTGTAGTGTGCAAAAATAACAATAAATCTATACAAAATCAAAAGATACACATCATATAGTAATCAAATAACCTTATTAATAATATTTATGAGTATTATTTAATTTTATCAAATAAATTTAAAGCGTGAATAGAATCACATTATATCTATTATATGTCATAAATATTCTACTAATAATTGTAATAATAATTATTTTTATATTATTTTCAAAAATAAAATAAATTGAATTCTTCTTTCAGTTTGTATTTAATATGAAAGTTTAATTTTTCTAATTAAAATTACTACATAATAAGTTAAATTATATCTATACTCTATAGTTTGAGCATTCTTATCATAATTCTAAGAACTTTCTAATCTCAAATTCAAATACTATTTCCCTTTCATTTCTAAATAGTAAATTTTAAATAATTTTCTTTAATTTTGCTATTTTTTATTATCTAATGTATAGTTTTATTACGTTTTATGTGGCCCATTAACTTGTAACTTTATTTAATATCATTATCAACTACTATTATTTAATATTATATAGATAAATATATAATTTTTTTAAAATATAAAATAAATATTTATTTTGTTTTAAAAATATTACTCAAAAATTTTAAATTATTTAAATTTGTTAATAATGTTTTAAGTATTGTAATTTACTTTATTTTCTAAACATATGATTTATAAATATCTTCATATTATCTCTAATTTATTTTTATTATTCAATTTTTAGTTTTTTATTTTTTGTCTATTAGACTTGAGTTACGTGGACTTATCCGTATTATGACCTTTCTTAACATAGTATAAAAAAACTTTCTCATCCCAATTTTAAATAAGTTTTACCCTTTTTTCTATGTCAAAAAAAATGAATTTTTGTTTATTTTCTCTATTTATTCTTTAGTTTTGCTATTATATTATTCAATACCTAATATTATTAAATTGTCATGTGGCTTTTATTAGCTTGTTTGAATTTAATATTTATTTCTATCATACTCATTCTAATATAATATAGATAAACTAAAAGTGTTTCGGTAGTAACTTTAACTTTATTGTTCATATTCCAAAATATGATTTTTCTTATCATATTTTAAAAAACAATATGATCTCAAATTCAAAAAAGTTCTTATCATTTTATTTTCTAAATCGGACCGCATTTTCAAAAAATTATTTTATGCTTTCAAACTTAAACTATCCGCAAATATTTCAAATATTAATCATAGAAAAATATTTCTAAAATTGTTTGAACATATTATATCTAAATGTAGTAGTAATATTTACGTATAAAATATTCATTTACCCAATTTATCAATATTAATATGGTGTGACGACCCAAAGGGGTCATCACCTGTATTCCTACTCCCTCTGTACTTCTGAGGCCCTGGAAACCTCACTTGGGGGTTGCCTCGACTTGTGTGCGCAGTCCGGGCGCGTAACCAGAGAGTTTACATGTGAATTTGTGAGAAAATTAATAAAATTTGATGTTTTAAATTGATCGAGTTTGACTTTGGTCAACGTTTTGGTCAAATGGATCCGGACTCGTGGTTCGACAGTCCCGGAGGGTCCGTAGGAAACTTTGGGACTTGGGTGTGCGCCCGGAATCAAATTCCGAGGTTCCAAGTCCGAGAAATAAATTATAGTGTGAAATTATTTTCTGAAAATAATTAAAGAATTTGAAAGTGTTATTTGTTTAGAAGACTGTGCTGTTGGGCTCGTATTTTGGTTCCGACGCCCGGCACAAGTCTTAAATGTGATTTAAGCAATTGCTGTAAAGTTGGTTAGATTTGGACGTCGTTTGACGTGTTTTGGACAAAAAAAACTCTAAACTTGATGTCTTATGAAAATTGGAAGGAAATCATGGGTCTTGAGGCCTAATTTGATGATTACGATGTTGTTTTGGCGATTGGATCGCACGGATGAGTTCGTAGGATGTTATTGAGTTAGTGTGTATGCTTGGTTTGGAGCCCCTAGGGCTCGGGTGAGTTTTGAGTAGGTCCCGGGAGGCCTTAGGCTTAAAGTAACAGATGTTGCAGTGTTGTAGGCCCCAGCGCGGCCGCGTTGCAGTCCGCGCGGTCCGTGTGGCCAGATTCAGAGGGGTCCTCAGCCTTGGTTTGACTAGCACGGCCGCGCACCAAGTTCGTGCGGTCCACGCTGGGAGATTCAGAGAAGGCCCCAGGTGCAAGACACAAGCGCGGCCGCGCACCAAAATCGTGCGGTCCGCGCTGGGTAGGTTCAGAGAGTTGTTTTCCCTCCCTTCCTCGGCGCGGCCGTGGGGAATTTTTGCGCGGTCCGCGCCAGTCCTTCGGCAAAGTATATAAATCTGAGATTTTCAGTCATTTTGCACTTTTTTCAAAACCCAAAACATAAGAGGCGATTTTTCAAACGATTCTTCTCCTTCAAAACGATTGGTAAGTGATTTCCAACTTATTTTCTTTGCTTCTTAACATCTTTAAACATAATTTCAACTTCAAAACAAAGATTTTAATGGGGGAATTTGGGAATTTAGGGTAGAACTAGGGTCTCAAAATTTGGGGGTTTTGGACCTCAATTTGAGGTCCGATTCCAAAATAACTTATTTATCTGAGTTCATGGGGCAATGGGTAGTCGGGTTTTGGTTCGAACCTCGGGTTTTGACCACGTGGGCCCGGGGGCATTTTGGGGATTTTTGAACAAACTTTGGGAAAATTCACTTTTCATGCATTCAAATTTATTAGATTAGCCTTTATTGATACACTCAAGTAATTTGTGACTAGATTCGAGCGGTTTGGTGGAGAATTCGAAGGGTAAAGCTATACTAGAGGATTGAGTTGAGTTTGAAGCATTTTGAGGTAAGTGTTTGTTCTAACTTGGGCTTGAGGGAATAGGATTAGGATGTTATTTGCTACGTGCTAAATGTGGAGTACGGTGTATAGGTATGGTGACGGTTATCTAAGCACCGGAGTCTAGCATGACCGTGAGTCTTAACTGCTTTTAATTCGAATGACGTGACACAATTTCCTTGTTTAATTGATAAATTTCATATAATGTGAACGGTTGAGGAAGAATTGTGATTGGTATATTTTGGAGCGTTGGCTCGAACAAGAATGTGATAGTCGAGAAAGAAGTGATTTAAAAGAGGATGTGTTGTGATTATTCCCTTGCCGGGACGTGTAGACAATTATTATGTACTCTCCCTTGCCGGGATATTTGGGCTGTTAGCTGTACCCTTGCCGGGTTAAAGCGTATTGTCGAATTCCCCTAATGAGGCCTTCTTTACAAAGTCAGATATTTTGAACTATAATATGGGACCGTGTGGCACGCCGTCCACTTATATATTATGAAATGGGATCGTGTGACACGCCGTCCACTTATATTCTATAATATGGGATCGTGTGGCACGCCGTCCACTTATATATTATGAAATGGGATCGTGTGGCACGCCGTCCACTTATATTCTATAATATGGGATCGTGTGGCACGCCGTCCACATATATATTATGAAATGGGATCGTGTGGCACGCCGTCCACTTATGAATTAAGAAATGGGATCATGTGGCGCGCCGACCACCTATAAATGAGCTATGGTATTGAGATAGTTTCGTCGTTATTATCCGTTGATCTGTGTTAGCT